AACCCCAAATAACTTCATTAGCTAACACACAATTTTGTAAAATATGCAAATTCTGTGGATATTAGTCCTGATTGGATTTCTTATGTTGCAAATTTATTTCATGGTCATACTCAATGTTGTGATTAATATCATGACTTTGACTATGACTGCGGGAGTCCAGCTCCTGCCGGGTTCAGGGTAACCCAAAGGTGGAGATGGTGTCGGTGATTGGGGGGAAAGAATAGAAAGAGGGAAAGAGAGAGAAAGGGGGGAGAGAGAGAGAGAGAGAGAGAGACTTGGACAACTGCTTAGATTTGAGCAGAAGACCTTTATTTAGTGTCAACAGTGGGCTTTTATACTATGTCTTTCACATGTGTGAGGGGCGTCCCTACCCAGGTGTGTGAGGGGCATCCCTACCCACCAGATATTCTTTCAGGTATGAGGAAGAAAATCCCATAACAGAATCCATGGCTGCCTATAAACCCTTTTCATCCTAAGCTAATTTATACTGATACCAAGTTAACCTTAATCTGTGACTGAACTATCCTATAAACTTTTTTCATCTTAAACTGATTTATACTAATACCAAGTTAAACAATTCTATAGAAACTTAAGTACTTACTTTACAACCTAAAGTGGCCCATCCCAGAACGTTTGGAATGTGGCCCAGTCCAAAGTTCATCAAGTAACCTAGTTGTATTCTTTCAACAGAATGGCTGTCTTCTAAAACTATATTCTACAATTTATGCCTTATTCAACTTCAATGAATCCTAAGATCACGACCCAGAAGCCTGTGACCAATACTAAGGCTCTTAGATGTGACTTAGAGTTTGAATTATAAGTTGTATGAAAGCCAAAACTGCAGTTTGTGGAAGAATGGGAACAATGAGCTCTAAAGTTAGCTTGTGTTCATCCCGGTCTCAGAGTTTTTATGTTTTGAGCTTACAGGAGCTTATTCTGATTAGTGCTGAGTAGAAAGCGGGAGGGAGTGGGGTCAACAGCTCCCAAACACATCCTAGTGGTCTCAGGGTCAACGACCTTTCCTGATCGCTAATGCTCAGTGGGCCTCCATGACTGGCTCCCAACATATGACTCCTTTATGTCCACAGATTATGATGACAGCAGAAATAATAGAGTAGGTAGGAAAAGGTCTGATATTTAAAAATGATACATATTTCTGTAAAAAAATTCATGCATCCTCTACAATGGAAATTGATGAATGTCATCTGCCATCTTGAGACTGGCAAGGAGCTGTGGCATATTGAGGAGGAATTAAAAAGTCTGTCATTGATGTATTGAGCATGTGGCAGCTGCAGCAGCCGGATTAATCTTGGTGAGATGAATTCCATTCTGTCGACTTATATATAGTCGCTATCCTAGTCATTGCTCCTTTTTAAAATTAATGTTATGACAACATTGTAGAGAGTCTGAAAACAGAAATGCATCTCAAGATGGCTTATTCAGCCCACCTTATTATTGAGACAGTTTTTGGAACACATGTCTTATGGTGGAATATTTCATACAAATGCCTATATAATTTGTGCCAATTCCAAGAGGTGTATCCACATAACTCTATCTCAAATTTTCTTGCCATTCATTTTACACTTTGTTTAAACCCATATCCTTGACCAACCAGTCAGTTTATTAAGCACTGTTCATTGGTCTGAAGATCTGTAACACAGGTCACAAAAAAGAAGAAAAGGAAGATGAGAAGGAGGAGGAAGAGGAGGAGAAAAGGAGAAGGAGGAAAAAGAAGAATGAGAAAGAAGGAGGAGGAGGAGGGAAGGAAGAGGAAGAAGAAGAATTATTCAGATGTTCTATTTAATATCCTGCCCATTGGGAAGTGGCTCAGCCTGTAATCTCATGCTTTGGGAGGCCAAGGTGAGTGGATTGCCCGTGCCCGTGGGTTCGAGACCTGCCTGGGCAAATTGGTGAGACCTCATCTCCACAATTAATCAAAAAATTAGCCAGGCATGGTAGCGTGTGCCTGTAGTTCCAACTACTTGGAAGGCTGAGGTGGAAGGATCGCTGGAACCCAGCAGGTGGAGGCTGCGGTGGCCGGGAGCAGCCACTGCACTCCAGTCTGGGCAAGAGAGTGAGACTCCAACTCAAAAAAAAAAATTTTACTTTACCACCATTTTAAGAGACACTCCTGAGTCGGGCCCTATCAAAAGTCACTTCCTGCTATTGTGGAATATAATGCAATGTTATATACATTATTGTCTTGAGTATTTTCTTCTTTCAATTGGGAATTGCCCAGTGAATCTCTTGGCAGGATTAATTGAGATTGTTAAAAAATGCTGATAGGAGCCAGGTTCTGTGGCTTAGCCTGTAATCCCGTGCCTTTGGGATGCTGAGGTGAGTGGATTACCTGAGCCCACGGGTTCAAGACCCGCCTGGGCAGCAAGACCTCATCTCTACAATAAATTAAAAAATCAGCCAGGCGTGGTAACACATGCCTGTAATTCCGGCCACTCAGAAGGTTGAGGCAGAAGGATCGCTGGAGCCCAGCAGGCGAGGCTGCAGCGGCCGGGAGTGGCCACTGCACTCCAGTCTGGGCGACTGAGTGAGACTCCAACTAAAAAAAACCCAAAAAACAAAACAAAACAAAAACGCTGACAGGTCCCAAGAGAGCCTAAGCCACCTGCTAAAAGGATTTACTTGTTTATCTGAAGCTTCTCAGTTCTTTTCTCATATATACAATGTCAAAAATTTATTTGACTTAGGTATCTGCTACAGACATAGAAAGGACACTTGGATTTTTTTAGTTATAAGATGGGTGGCAAAGGGGTCTATAGGCAATCTAATTATACACACACACATGCGCGCATGCACACAAACCTACATGTGTAATACCTAAGATACATACACATATTTATTTATTTATTTATTTATTTATTCTCTATTTCAATAAAGGATGAGGCAACATCATAGTAGACTGTCCATATACTTCATTTCAAAAAATTATGTGAACAATTAGCCAATGTCACAGTTACCTGCAAGTTTAAACATTCTGATTACAATTTTGCACCATGGCTGGATTTTGTCAATTTTTGCTTCTAAGCTGACAAAGAGTTGTCTCTAGTAAAGGGAAATTTACTTAGTAACTTTAGTCAGAAAAAAAGGGAAGGGAATTGGAAGACCTTTTGTCTTTGAAAATCTCTCTTACTTTTCACTAAACAGAAGAAAGGTAGAGAGTTCCCATGCACCTTAATTATCTTCAATTCAAAAATAATTATGCCAAAAAGGAACATTTTGAGGTAACACATTCTGAATTTCTTCACTGTCTTGAATGTTTATTTGGATAATAATGACTTTTACTGAAATGGAAAATAATCAAAGAAAAATATGTTTTGAGTTGAAGATAAATATCATTAGTTCTCTGTTGGATCTGTTTACATTGAGAAGCCAAACTTGCAAGACAACAGAAATAGGAAGAGTCAACAACATAGAATTTATGAAAATATGAGGCTTAAACTTTAAATTGGTTCACCAGCATGAGGCAAGTTTTTATTTAAGAAAAAAAAAGGTATACCACATTCTAAAATCTTCAAAGAAAAAATGTAAAGCTCTAAGAATTTTGCCAGTAAAATACATCTAGAAAAAAAATAGTAATGTACAAATATGGTAAAAATAATGTGTGTAATTATCACTACAGAGTAAGGAGATAAACCCTTCTTTATTTGCATTGTGGAAATATGAGCAAATCTCTGTAAGAAGATGACAGGAAAAACAGTATTCCCGGGAAAGTTCTTTATTTTCAATTAAACTTTATATTGAAGCCTAACATTCTTGATTTTTATTCATGGAACATGGATATTAATATATACAATTTAATTTTATGATTTTTATTGGGGTTTTTTTGCTTTTTGTTTTTTGAGTTGATGTCTCACTCTGTCACCCAGACTGGAGTGCAGTGGCTGCTCCTGGCCAC